GCTCCGGGGGAACTGGTAGCATAGTGTTTAAGTGCTGGTATGCTAATATCAGGAAGCAGGAGTGGCATCCACTCCACTCCCTAAATAACATGCCTCTGGAAGGAAGCTCTATGAACTTTGATAAATGTTGAGAGTTGTAGAGGGGCTTCAGGCCTTTTGTTCATAGGGTCGCTATGTGTCGTGCTCTCGACTTGAAGGCAATCAACAATAACAACGCTAATCAAAAAACCAGCCATTTGAATGCACTCCACAAAAAAAAAAATAGATTAACTGTAGCAATGAGCTTAAGCATGTCAGGAATGGTGAAGATGACCTCGGCCTCGGTTAGAACAGGTTTCAGATCCTTTGTTCATAGGGTCATTATGAGTCACAGTTGACTGGATGGCACATAATATAACAACAACAACAACCCATCACTCCTTGGAAGAAAGATGGGACAATCTGCCTCCATAAAGATTACAGCCTACACACCCATTTTTATCACGGCTCTGTTCACAACAGCAAAGAGCTGGAAACAACCCACATGCCCATCAACAAACGAATGGATAGAGAAGCTCTGGTATATTCACAAAATGGAATACAATGCAGCATTGAAAAATAAGAACTCATGAAATATTATGCAAAACGGATGACCCTGGAGGATATTATGCTGAGTGAAATATCTCAGTCACAAAAGGACAAATACTGCATAGGGCCACTGTTGTAAAGTGGGACTGACATCAAGGTTGAGGGAAGACAGAGAATGAGGGGAGGAATCATGTATATTGCATTAAAATAGATGAGGGAGAGAATTGTTTAAAAGGGACATATGAATGGGTATTCTTGTCATTACATAAGTCCAGAGTAAAGGCTGCATAGTGGAGTAGACTAGTGGGGAGGGATTGCATAACAATTAAGAGTTTTTCTTTTCAAGAAGAGTGATTCGGGGAAGAGGTGGTGGCCAGGGAGAAAAGTGCAACAATGAATGACTGGAAACCCTAAGTGTTTGTAAACTTTGATGAAAATTAATTCAAAAAAAAAATTTTTTAATTTAAAAATTTTTTTTAAAAAATATTACAGCTTGGATATCTGACTCTTGCCTAAGAGGGCTCCCATGGCTTAGAACTGACACAGGGCAGCAGGATATTTAAACTACCATTAAAGAGAAAAAAAACTTGAAAGCATATAAAAGTGTCCATGGTCTACAGATCACTAAACTCGGGTAAACCGGTCTAGATCCGGTGGCCTCGAGGAAAGAGTTGCGCTGTCAACCCAAAGGCACCAGGTGCTACACAGAGAGAGATGGGAAAACTCCTTTCATGCAACGTGCAGCCTCTGAAAACCCACCACGGGGTCAACTATGAGTCAGCTCCAACTTCACCACACATAACAACAACAACTACTGATGATCCTAGGGGTGTTCCAGTGCCACAGGCCTTGAGGAGCTGCACTGCTACCCCAAAGACACCACCTCTGCGGTGGTTCGAACCCAACAGCAGTTCCAAGGGAGAAAGACGGGCCACCTCCTCCCACGTCTTTACAGACTCCGAAGAGTTGCTAGCAAGTCAGCTGTGACTTGGTTCTTCCTGATCCACGCAATGCGTTGAGAAAGCTAACTTTAAGGCTTCACCCCTTTCTAAGATGGAGAGGAGGGAGGTTATCAGCTCTATGATTTGAGTCTTCAGGTCCAATTGCATGATGCAAAACTTTCCAAATTTCGGACAATAAGCTTTTGTTTAAAAAATGGCCTCTTCCACCTGGCCCCCACTCACAGTCACATCATTCATCCGGCTGCTTCAATGGCTCTGGTACTTGTTACAGGCCTCATCAGAGTGGTCTGGAATCAGGCTCACTGAATCCTTGTCCTACCACTCCCTATGAGCTCTGGAAACAGGCCAGAAACTTCTCAGCATCCGTTTTGTACTCTACACCCCTAGGAGGTGTGGGAAGGACCAGACAATGTTTGAGAGTAGCTAAGTGCTCGGTTTGTGCTCGGTTAACAGCAGCTGGAGAGTGCTGGTCTAATGAGGTCTGCCCTCAGGTGCTCTTGGGGGAGTCAGGACACCGGCTCATGCATCACTTTGGCCTTCTCACCATTAAAAAATAGTATGGTGGGGGGTTTTTTTCTTTACCCTAACTTTAATTTTTTTTTTTTCTTTCATTGTGATTTGAGTGGAACTTTATAAATCAATGGTTCTCCACTCAATCATTCATGTTGTTGTTAAGTGCTGTCAAGTCACGGGCGACTCATCGCAACCCTATGAACGAAAGTCCTCAGCACTTGTGTGCTTTCATCCTTTCTCCAGGTTCACAGGGTTTCCGGAGGCAAGCTATTATGGAAGTGGATGCCACTCCTGCTTCCAAGCTTGTTTTAACTGGGGAGCCCCACCAAACACTGTCCCCCATGGGTAACCGTTATCGCATTTGATACATCAGTGTCACAGTATTCAGCTTCAGAGCAACCACGAGTTACCTCTTTACAGCAAGTGGACAAATCAGGGCTGTATGACCCAGAAGAATGTTTGACCAAAAACAATTAAAAACAGGCCTGGGGGCTGCAGATTAGAGTCACCCACCTTTAGCTTGGCAGCATCACTTTCTGTCCACTAGGCCAACTGATCACTCTCTATGTTGGTGTTATTGTTGTTAAGTGCCGTCGAGTCGTAGGCGACTCACAGCAAACCTATGAACGAAAGTCCTCAACAGTTGTGTGACTTTTATCCTTTCTCCAGGTTCACAGGCTTCTCCCCAAGAAGCCAGAGGCTGCGTCCAGCTAACACCAAGACTCCCAAAATGCTTGTCCTTACCCTGCAGGCATGGCCCGGCATTTCTGTATTCTACCGTTCCGGCATGCCCAAATGCTGGTGGTCTCTGGGCCAGAGACCACCAGTTCATCTGGCAAGTCCGCTCTGCCGACACCCACTTGTGTCAAAAAGAAAGCCACAAGTGCCCGGAGCATTGCATCCTCGCCTCTCCCCAAGAAGCCAGAGGCCACATCCAGCTTACACTAAGACTCCCAAGACCTCAATCATTCATACCTATTTGTTTTACAACATTAAACACACTCAAACTCACTGCCTCCCAGTCAGAACCCACACAGAGCAGGTTTTCAGAGGCTGTGAACTGCGAGGGAGGAGACTGCCCATCTTTCTTCTGCGAACTGCTGGTAAACTGGACCCGCCACAGAAGTGCTTTGAGTTAGTAACACAACTCCCAGGGATAAAGTCACCACAGCGCCCTTTATAACATTACTTACAATTAATTAATTAATGTCATTAACTCATTAAAATGTCTGTTCAACTCCCATATTTTATATCATCTTTTCCCTTCATCTAGCTTAATAAGCATTTACTATCTTTTTATTAATGATCACTCCCTTCTCCCTCCGCCCACTTCCCTAGTCACCATCCAAGGATTCTATCCGTGCGTAAGCCTTTCCTTTTCTGTCCTTTTGTATTTCTTGGAAAGATGGAGGGTCAGCAAAGGACAGAAAGCCTTCTAATGAGATGGAGTGAAATGGTGACTGTAGCAGTGAGCTCTAGTGGGTCAGAGATGACGGAAATGGGACAGGACAGAGCAGGGTTCAGGCCGGCTGTTCACAGAGTCACTGTAAGTCATACTCAAGTCGACGGCACCTGACAAAAACAATGTCACTCCAGGGGGCTTTCGTGGTCTAGTGGGTGAGAGAAGTGGGCTGCCAACCCCAAAGGCAGGTGGTTCCAATCTACCAGGTAGTTGCTCCTGGGGAGAAAGATGGGTTATCTCCTCTCCTGCAATTTACAACCTCTGAAAATCCAGTGGAGGGTCAGCTATAGTTGATAGAGGTTGAGCTGAATGTCACTTGGAATGGTTCCCTCTAGGTTCATCCACATTATACAGAGTCTAGAGAAGTCTTTACAGCCCTTACTTCTCATCTATCTTCTGCCATTCCGTTTTCCCCTTTTCTCTTTCACAATTTAATATAACAGGGTGAGTGTGAGAGTGTGTGCGTGCATCTGTGTTCGTGTTCACACATATGCGTGCACACATGTATATAGTTTGCTCTCTAAAACTGTGCTCTGAGAAATTCTAGGGGCTTCTAGAGGATTACCTGACATCTCCCTACCTACCAACCTACCTACAGCTCTTGACTCTCTCAATCTTTTGTTCATTGGGCATGAGATAAATTCTCATTGGCTTTTGGTTTTATTTGGCTTTTGTTTTGATTTGCTGAATTTAGCAAAATTGTTTTATTGGCTTTTGTTTTGATTTGCTGAATTTAGTAAAATGAACATTCATTGCTATTGCTATAAAAGGTCTTAAAATATTTTTCTTTACTTATTTCAAGAAAATTCTGGCATTGAGCAATTCCACTGATTTCCTTTAAGAAACATTATGGTTCCACTGAAAATACCACCTATGCACTTACTGGTATAAGCATGAACTCTCAGAGGTGGCCATTCTGTCCCATTTGGTCCTTGTGGAACTATTTCAAAATTATACTTGGTCCCAGGGTTTAAGCCACTAATAACAATACTGGAGCTGGCTGTGATGGTTGTTTTAGCCCAAGGCTCTCCAGATCCATCCCATGTGGTAATGATCCGAAAGGATTCCGAGTTATTACTACTCCACGCCAAGCCGATTTCTGTTGTGGTGACACTTGTCACATGAAAGTCAGAGACTGGACCCGGAGCTGTGGGAAGGAGACACACGAATGGGTTAAGACTCTTGTTTCAGTAGACATTAAACCTCTACTAACATATGTATATATATTATTGTAATTAAATATATATATTTTTTATTTTTATGTAAAGTATAATATAAGTCTCTTTTGGCCATGGGGAATGTGCTGGTTGAACAGCATGATGAACATAATCAATGGTATGAACTCTTCATAAGATGACTGTTGAAATGGCATGTGTTTTGAGAGAGGTATATATATATACATATATATAATTACCAAACATAAGAAGGTTTTTTCTAAAAAAAATCCACTACATAGCAAACCAAACCAAAGTTTCCTTTAAAAAAGAAAAAAAAATGTATCTAAATTGAGTATGAAAAACCAGATATTGTGTCTGTGTGTGTCTGTACGTGTGTGTTCTTAACAGTGGCGTTTCTCTGGCAGTTTGACTCTATCAGTTGCTCCACAAAAGAAAGCTGAGCAACCTCCTCCCATGTGATTTACAGCCTCCAAAAACCCTCTCAAGGGCCAGCTATGAATCAGTACTGACTTGACAGCAAAGAGTAAGTGAGTGAGTGATGTAGATACATAAGACACACACACAGATACCTACTTCTTCCAAAAACAAGGGTAACAAAATGTCAACAAATATTCTCAGTGGGATTCATTCCAAATTTTGGACTCTCTCTCTCTTCCATTCCCCTCTCCCCCAACCCATTACATTTGCAGCACAAGCCCTGAGACACCGAGACTCTGAACTTCAGGAGAACACTTGGCCACAGGAAGGCAGAGACCACGTGCTTCAACAGTCACCACAGGAAATGAAAAGAGATGAGCCCCCGCTCAAGACCCAGGCTCTAAAAGTGAGAGCTGAACCTGGGGTGCTGCTGGTTGCCTGACCTTGAACGCATGGCCAACCCTCTCAGGCCCGCCATTCAGGAAGTGTGGCAGAGGTGGTGCTTGGTCACCAAAATCCATTCTCCCTTTTCCCTTAGTCACACATCCCAGATTCTCAGCTGAGATTGAGGTGGAGGGTTGGGGGAGTTAGGGGACCGACTGCTGGGGGTGTGACTTCTTCCAAAGCTCCTTGTAAGCTTCATGTTTGAACTCTAAGGTGGGAACATTTTCTTCTTTTCCTTCCCTATAACTGCAGTAAGGGAGTGATGGCTACAGTTCAGGTCACCATCTAAGTAGAAGCTTGCGTGGTGACGACGTCTTGGTTGTGGAAGCCTTCATGAAGTTGTCCATGGTGGGTTTAACAGTAAAATCAACCCGACCCGGCTTCTTGCGTGTCTTTGCTACTGCAAAGGAGGGAATGCAAAAATACTCCATGAATCAGCATTCCTTGAAGCGAGGAATCTGACATGATTTGGATTCAGGCAAGAAGATGCCCTCTTCCAGTGATCAAAGATGAAGGTGAGGTGGAGACCCTGCCTCTGCTGGTCACACAGTCACGGGTCAGCAGCGGGTCTTTCTGTGGCATCATTACAGGATCCAGTCGTCCACTCTGCAGGTGCAGAGGCGGCCAGGAGGCATGCACCTTCTTTATTATCAACACTGTGGCCACTGACTGCCTCTTCCTGATCGAGGATCACAAGTAGAACATGTTCTCTTGGAGCCAACCGCTCCAGTAGAGGCTTCCTAACCCTCACCCTGCTAACTGGGACAAAATAGGGACAGTCCAGGCAGCCCATGTCAGCAGTGTTGGCCCAGGAGTCATTTCCAGAGGCCCAAATGAAACCTTTCTCCTGGCCTTTCCAAAAATGGCATCAACCTTCAAGTCCTGGGATTAATTCCTTAGTAACTTAAAAATAGTTCATGATTTCTGTTTCCTGCTACTGAATCCTAGATAAAACTCCACCATTCTTATCCTGATTTGCACTAGACTTTTTATATTAGACACAAACTCTTGTACCTTCAATATCAGTAGTCAGGAAATCAAGAGACGTATTGCACTGGAAAAGTCTGCAGTCAGGGACTTCTCCATATTATTGAGGAGCAACGATGTCAGTTTGAGGAAAAAGGTGTGCCTGATTCAGGCCACGGTCTTTCCAATCATTTGCTATGCATCTGAGAGCTGGACAAAGACCAAGGATGACTGAAGACTGATGTCTTTGAGCTGAGATGTTGGAGAAACGCAATGAACATCCCATGGATGGCCAAAAGAACAAACAAATGCCTTGAAGAGTGCTCCTGGGAGGCAAAGATAATAAAGCTTCCCCTAATATAAGTCAGGCACGTTGCTCGGAGAGGTTATTCCATAGAGAGGGATATCATGTTTGGAAAGACAGAGAGTCAGCGAAGGAGAGGAAGATCTTCTACCAGGTAGACTGTCACAGTGACTGTTACAATGTGCTCTAGTGTGTCAAGAAGCGTGAGGACGTGCAACAACGAATGAATGGAAATCCAAGTTCTTTATAAACTTAAAATAAAATCTCAATTAAAAAAAGAAGTGTGAGGATGGCACAGGATAGGGCTGGGTTCAGATCTGTTGTTCATAGGGTTGCTCTGGGTTGTACTGGCCTCAGCCACCTAACAACAACAATCACAATGCTTGCAATGGTTAAGACACTGATAATGTTGTTAGGTGCCATGAAGTCCGTTTTAACTCATAGCAACCATATGGACAACAGCACAAAACACTGGCCTGTGCTACAATCAATGTCCTCACAATCAGTGTTTGAGCCCCCCCGAGTCTATGTTTGACCCACTGCAGCAACCTTAGTGTCAATCTATTTCCTTGAGGGTCTTCCTCTTCTAAACCAGCCCCCTACTATATCAAGCATGATGTCCTCCAGGCATCAATCCCTCAAAATATGTGACACAATGACAGTATATTTCCTAAGGAGCATTCTGGCTATTCTAGGACAGATGTCCTTCTTCTAGGACAGATGTATGCATTCTTGTGGCAGTCCACAGTAAATTCACAATTTTTCATCAACACCATGGTGCAAAGACATCAGTTATTCTTCAGTATTTCTTATTCATTGTCCAGTGTTCTCACGCTTATGAGACAACTGAACATTCAACAGCTTGGATCAGGCACACCTCACTCTTCAAATAACGTATTCTGTTCAACTCTTTATAGAAAATTCCTTTGCTACGAATTTGCACAATGGAGCATGTTGCTTGACTTTCTTGGGACTGATACTTTCAGGGTCCAAATAAAATAAAATCTCTTACAGTTTTAATATTTTCTCTCTTTATTATGATGTTTCTTTTTGATCCAGTTGTGGGGATTTTGTTTTATGTTGAAGTATATTCTATATTAAAAGCTGCAGTCTTGGATTTTCATTATTAAATGTCTCAAGTCTTTGCTTGCAGGAAACCAAGTTGTGCTTTAAGTCTTCATCTTCCTGCAATCCCAACACCATATACTTCCTCAGAGTTTAGCTTCTGGGATTATTTGTTCGGCATACAGATTGGAAATGTATGGTGGAAGAGTACAACCCTGACACACGTTTCCTGATTTTACACCACACAGGATCCCTTTGTTCTGTTCAAATGATTCCCGCTTGGTCTGTGTACACTTCCCACATGAGCATAACCAACTACTCTAGAATTCTCATTCTTTGGATATTATCCATAAGTTATTGTGATCAACTCAGTCAAATGCCTTTGCATAGTCAGTAAAACACAAGTAAACTTCTCTCTGATATTCTCCGCATCCAGCCACCATCCATCTGACATCGGCAATATTACACCTCATTTCACATCCACTTCTGAATCAGCCACGAATTTCTAGCAGTTCTTCATACATGTACTGCTGCAACCATTTGTTTATTATCTTGAGTACAATTTTTTCAGAGTGTCTTTGTTCAATAATTTCCAAATTCTCTTGAATTCCCATTCTTTGGAATGGACACAAATATGGGCTGCTTCGAACTGGATGTCCTCTCTGTCTCTTGGCAAAGACAAGGGAGCAGCAGCAGGGCTGCGTGCATTTGCTGAAACACTGCAGTTGGTATCCCGTTGATTCCTGGAGCCTGGTCTTCTGCCAATGTCTGCACTGCAACCTGGACTTCTTCCTTTAAAACTACCAGATCTGGCTCAGACACATACGCTCCCTCCTGAAATGGGTGAACACTGACTGATTCTTTTTGGTACAATAATCCCGTGTCCTCTTTCCATCTTCTCTTGATGCTTACTCTGTCATTCAATATTTTAACCACAGAACCCTTTGCTATGGCAACTCAAAGTTTTAATTTTTCATTTCTTTCAGTTAAGAAAAATGCTGAACATGCTCTTCCCTGGGACTTATATTTCTTTCCATTGTCTTCCTGAGTGGATAACTGAAGTCTGCTGTTCAGCTCTTAATTCACTCACTTTCTTCCCTTTATTTTCACTTCTCTGTGTTCTAGTCCAAGTTTCAGAGTCTCTTTTGAGAACTCATTTTGCGATCTTTTCTTTCTTGTCTCTTTACAGCCAACTTGCTTTCTTCTTGAGTGAGGATGCCCTTAACATTTTCCCACAATGCATCTGTTGCTGATCACAAGTGTTCAATGTTTCATATCTACTCTTGAGATGATCTCCAAATTCAGGTGAGATAGCCTCAAGGTCATATTTTGGCTCTCATGGACGTGTTTCCATATTCTCCGGCTTCAACTTGAACGTGCATTCGAGCAATAGATGATTTGTTGTGCAGTTGGTCCCTGGCCTTGTTCTAAACTGACACTTGGATATTTGGGATAACCTAACTAATGTTGTTGTTGTTGTTGTTGTTGTTATGTGCCATCGAGTCGTTTCCGACTCATAGCGACCGTATGCACAACAGCCCTAAACCCTGCTCTATCCTGC